TGCGCATCATCCGAGAACGGGCCCAGAAGTTGACTCGCCATTTGCGGCCCTTTTTTCAGACCAACACATTGGTCTGGCCATCCGAACTTGTGTTCACTGGCGTTTGGCCAAATTGGAAGACATACGGGGCATTGAGGGCATTGAACCGAGAGGTGGGCTTGACTCTGCTCCATTTGCAGGCAGATGAGCTGTACACACCGCCACCACAGTTCCTATCGTCTTGCCGCTCCTTCCATTGGAGATCTCCCACAGCTCAGCATTTCTTTTCTCAGTGGCACTACGAACGTCGCCCCCTCAAAATTGTGGCGCATGGGATGCATACCTACCCTTTGAGTGATTTTCCATGGCCTGATGATGATGGGAATTCAAGCCCTGCGGAGAGTGATGGCAGCTTAGATAGTGATTAGTCACAAGGAATCGGAACTGCTTCCAGGCTGCGCAAAAAATGCTAATGCCTTTTGACATCTCCTCCCCCACAACAGCTTTCGCGTCGGTGAGTTGGTTTTTGGTTTGGTTGGTTCTGGGATGGTCGGTCAGCAAGCTTTTGCTTGGATGACAGCTTGACTGCACTGCCAACAATTTTAATTCAATGGCTGGGTGCCAGCTTTGTTTATGGGTCTGGCAGCCTGCTGTGATTCTGTATGACACCCTTTTTGGGGTTGCTTGTGTCTGCCAAGGCTCGCGAGCTTGACTCACATCTTTGGGGATGTGGGTCACACTCATGGGCCACTCGATCAAAGATTTTCAGTACTGAGTTCTTGCCAAGTCTTGCAGCATCCACAGGACAATTATTTCTTTTCAGTCCAGTACATTAGGCTCCAAGCAATTCTTGGTCTTTCTGCCGCACCGCCACTTGTGCAGGATTTTGTTGAAAACATCCGGAAGACCATGGTGCCCAGTCGTGGCCGCCAATTGGTCTGTGAAGTGCTGACCAGCTCTTTGAGCTTCAAGGCTTTTGTGGACAAGTTTGATGTGGTCGTCTCTGGCTTGGTTCCCAATCCCAGAGGCTCCAACCCGCAGCCCCACACAAATCATTGCTGGAGATTTGTACGTCGTGCAGTTGCTCTTCTGCAAGGAAAGTGGTTAACATGTTTGAGTGAAGGCATGCGATTTGGAAGTGTCCATCTTGCCAATGATGTTGGTTACACTGTATTTCTTAGATTGATCAAGGATTTGCCGAAGTACGACGCATCGCGGGAGATCTCTTGGACAGTTCAAGAGTTCACAAATCAGGCCTGTCTCTTGTTTCATTTGCATTGTGATTTTTCACGTGTTTTGTTTTTCTTTTGGATGGCAGGACTACTGCCAAAATGACAATGACGTGGTCATGCTTGCCAAGGAATGGGTAAGTTCGGAAGCTTTGAGCCAGCAGCCGTTGCTGGTCTTGCCCTTTGACTACTTGCAAAGGGTTCAAGGTGTATGCGTTGAAGCGCAGCCGCGAAAAACATTGGGCACTCGTGAGTGCGATGAGCCATTTGGCTTGTAAACTCAGATGTTTTTTTTTTGCTGGCGCCTCAGGCTATCCTGTTTTTGAAAATCCTGTGCTTGTGGAGGTTTTTGCGCACGGCACGAACCGTGGAACTAGATCCTTGGAACTTGCACCTGGCAGCATCGTACTTGCGGCAGTATGTGGATGCTTGCTGGCAAACTGCATCCTCTGTGTTTGTTTGACAAGCTGACATCAGATTGATTCAGGAAAACAATCGCAACCAAACCTTCCCGGCTGCTGTGCTGCCCACGTGGATATTCTCCTACACGCGTGATGTTTCGCAGCCTTGTGATGCAGGGCGCTTGCCTGAGAGTCTGGCATCGTGAGTGATTTCCATTGATGGTGGTATGGTTTCGCTATGTCATTCTTCAGGTGGGAGAAATTTGCACCTGGACCGGTGCGTGTCATTGCTGCTGATGCCTTGACAGCAGCCCAGCGTGTCAGCGTGCAAGCTGTGCAAGAGAGGTTCCGGGAGAAGAAGAAGCGAGCTGCCACTGCTGCTGCCGACAATGCGCATCCTGCACCCGTGGCATTGCCACCTGATGTTCCAGCTGCTGAGGCTCCAGCTAGGCCTTTGGGATGCACGAAATGCAGAATGTCACCGGATGGCTGCCGTCAATGCAAAAATCCAAACTATCGCCCGCGTGGAAAGGGTGGCCAGAAAGGAGCTGATGGAAGTGGCAAAGGCACTGCCAAAGGTGGCAAGGGGGTGGCCAAAGGTGGCAAAGGGGCGGCCAAAGGTGGCAAAGGCGCAAAAGGTCGTGGACGAGGTCGTGGCCGTAAGATGTGAGCCGATCGATTGCTTAGAGGTGAAGTTAAAGGAACGTCAAAAGCGAGGAAATATAAGTAACATAAGTGTCTCCTTGGGCACAAGCATAGAATGACTTCGCCCTTTGACTTCTTGCCTCATAATAGTGGAGTGTGTGAAGTGGGATTCAGCTTGTAAGCTTTGGGGAGGGCTTCTAAAAATGAAGTCCTGCATTCCATGCTGTCACGCATGGCCAATCCATGGCAGAAGTCAATCTTCTGCAAGTCTCCGGGGAAAATTACCATAGCTGTTTGTGCGTGTGCACTATACTGCCTGACTGTCATGCAGCATGCGCACGAAGATGAAATCAGGTGTGACTGCTTGGGGCTCGCACACAAGGGTTGTAGAGTGTGTGGTAGCCATGGCTCTCTTGCTACCAGAGGATGACGAAGGCCTTGACCTGGGTGTTTGGCAAGGCCTGTCTCAGGTTGATGGCTCAGTGTCACTTGCAAAGAGTGGCGAAGCTGCTGGTGCTCCAAAGCCACCGACTAAGAGACTTCGCGGACACAAAAACAAAGGCAAGGCAAAAGCCGCGAAAAAATGCCAGGTCCAGCGAGCTGAAGCTAAGGACAAGTCTGAGCCTTGCGCTGCTTTAGGCCCGAAACCGAAGCCCTATGCTGAATCAACCAAAGACTACCTGGAGGCGGTGTCGTCTTTTGTTGGCAAGTAACTTGAATGCACTATGCACTGGTAGTTTCCAAATTGAATCCTCCACGGCATGTGTTTCACCCTCCCTGTCTCTATTGTTACGCGTGGTTGTCCAGCTGAGGCCTGACATGCCCTTTTCGGACATCAATGACATGATGTTCTCCCATACTATGCTTTTCAGTGCTCAGCGCCGTTGTCACTTGTGGGAAATTTTTTCCCACCCACGTGTGGCTCCTGTGATGCGGGCTTTGGGAGGGCGCGCGCTCCGCAGTGTAGATTTAGTCAACTGCTTCGATCTGACCAATGGAGATGTGCAACACTGCTTGTTGAGTGATGTTTGCAGCCAGCAGCCCTTTTTTTTGATGCTGTCTCCTCCGTGCACATTGCTGTGCAAATATATGTATTGCAATTGGGCCAAAATGGATGCATTGACCAAGTATGCGCGTCTTCAAGAGGCATTGGGTCACATCGATCTGAGTTGCTGGCTGGCTGACATGCAAAGCCGGTGTGGTCGATACTATTGCATTGAAAATCCAGAAGGCTCACAGGCTTGGAATCGCAACAATGCAACTTGCAAGCACACTAGCTGAATAGAACAGTTGCATCTAAGGTTTGTATGTTTGGCTTTGATGTGGACATTTTTGTGAATTCTGCAGCTCAGGTGAAGCGATTGGCTGAGCGACACACCAAACTTGTTTTCGACCAGTGCCGATTTGGTTTGGTTTCCTTGCAAGATGGCATCCCAGTGCAGAAAAGCACTGTATTCCTCACAAACTGTCCAGCTATTGTTGAAGAGTTTCAGAATGTCAGATGCTTGGGCAACCACAAGCATTGCCCCATAGAAGGCTGTGAAGGAGGAGTGTCGCGCAGCAAAGCTGCACAAATATACCCCAAAGATCTTTGTGAAGCGATCAGCAAAGCGGTGTTGAAGCAAGCTGAGCGAGATGGTTTTGGGCAGTAGCCTGCCCCAGCACTGTCTTCAACCAATGGAGCTAGCAGCTAGAATGTGGAAAAAATGTTTTTTTTGGAGAAATCCGCGGAACTCATGTCTTGATTTTTGAAGGTCAAGATCGGCAGATTTCCTTGGAAATCTGCGGAAGTCCCTAGACATGTACAAAATCGTCGGAAGTCAAAGATTGAAAATCAAGAGCCAACTTCGGAGGATTTGCTTCCAACCCTTGGACTTCGGAGGATTTCCAAGGAAATCTGCGGAACTCAACATCTCAAAATCAAACATTGACTTCTGCAAATTATGACTGTCAAGTGTTTTTTGCGGAGGGTTGAGGCCCAAACATATCCAATCGGCAGTTTTCCCTGGAAATCAGCGGATATGTTGTTGCAAGTTGTAACACCGAGCCATCATCGGAAGAATCGATTTGCTTTTCTGCGGAAATTTTTGAGAATCGCATTCACGCATGGATTTCCTGCGGCTCAAACAAATTGGCTAACAGCTTTTTCCAAGCTAGCTGCCAGCTTTTTGTGCGCTGTGCTTGAAGACTGGCAGCTTGCCAGGGACTGGCCTGTTGGACAATTTCGGTCGCCACTTACACGAGACCAAATGGCCTCAGAAGTTCCCTTTGGAGGTGTTGCTGGTGTGGTGAATGGGCATTTCATGGATGTAGAGACAGCGTCCACTGTCCAGGACTGCTGTGTATTTGGAATACACAGCCATGCCCAGTTTTACATTATATATTTTCCTGTGACAGTGAGGCACCTGTGGACCATTTGCTGGGTACCTCAGCTGTGGATGCTCAGAGTGACGGGCCTACAACTTTGGCTGGCACTGAAGTTAGCACTGCTAGCACCAGCCACTCCCAGTGGGATTTGGTGACTTTTGATGGCAGCCCTCAAGAGAAGAAAGACCGGCTGCACTCGACCGTGTACAATGCCATCAAAGGTGCCTGAACATTTCCATTCGGCCTGCCATATGATTTCAACATAGTAGTTGTTATGCGCATTTCTTCTGCTGTGTAGGTTATGGAGGGGCCCGTCAGTTCTTGCAAGCCATGTACCCGACTGACACTGAACGACAAGTGTTCTACACGTGGCTGAAAGATGAGATTGGTTTCGATCCTTCTGTGCCATATGCGGCCAAATTTGGTGACATCCCTCTGGCCAGCCCCAATGGTGAGAGTGCAGTGCTTCCAGTCAGGATACCATGCTGGTTTTTTCAGTTTTTCCAATGAAGCAGGCCTCACCGGTGCCCCTGAGTTGGATAAAAGTCAACAGCTTCTGGGAAAACTCTTGGCCTATGGCTTCTCAACCAGCGATGAACCATTGCGCGTTCGATTCCCTGCTTTTTAGCTGCATCTTTCTGGGTAAACTGTCACAATGATGTGCAGCTTGGATTTTTTTGCGCAAGCTTATTGTGACCATTGAAATGGTCTTGTCCAGGCTCACTGCTCCTTGGACAATGCCATTGGCAATGGGGAAGTGCTGTACTTGAAGGGGCAACTTCGGGTTGTGACAACCTTGGCGTTTCTCGCAGTGGTTCACCAGAAGAATGCTTCTCTCAAAGAGGCTGTGCATTTAACAGCTCACATTTTGCAATGTAAAAATTGCATTTTTCTTATGCACCTTCCACACATGTGTCCCCGTGCACAGGTCGACAAAGAGGTGCACTCAAGCCTCCAGCATGTCATGGCTCTTGGCGTCAAGCTGACTGACCGGACGGAGGAACTGTTTTGTGGCAGCAGTTGCGGCAAAGATTTCCTTGACGCCTTGTGCCACTAAACGTGTGGCAGTTGAGTGCTGTCTCAAGGTTCTACAACTTGCGTGTGGGCACCAAGGGTCAGATCCGAACTGCGCCCAGTGCTGTCACATGGGTGAATTCTCTGATGGAACTGGCTAAGACAGGAGACAAAGATTCTCAGGCAACCATAGCAGCCTGGAATGGGCAGGCTGCAAAAGCAGACCGAGTAGTGGGCAACCAATTCATGACCGTGAAGAACTTGCTTGATATGAATGCAGAGTGTCGGTCCATGTTGTTTGCGTACATCAGTGAACGCGGGATGAGCAGCTGCTTAGCCCACATATGCTTCAGGTTTGTGCGCCGTTCTTTGATGTTCAAAAGGTGCAGTTTTTCATGTGTAACTGAGACTCGCCCTACAACGAAGATCTTTTGAGCAGCAAGAAAATCCAGCTTGGGTCGAGTTTCAAGACAGCAAAGATTGGGAAACAGAGCCCTTGGGCTGGACCTTGGAGTCGGGTCACGAAGGATGGTCTTGCTTTGTGGATCCAGTTCTTGGGTTCGAAGTGGGACAAGCTTCCTGCTCACCTTCGCAAGAAACCGACAAAAGCAGAAGGAGAGCAACTGCTTGAGCAATGTTACTTGTCTAAATTGTTTGTGAATTTAGTGCTTCAGTTTCCCAGCACTCATTCTGTGCTCGCCAGGTGCCTTGGCAGCTAGTCTCTTCAATGACCTCACTGGCATGGCTCCCCAATTGGAAAACATTGCCCTGGACCAGTGCTTGCCTCATTGAACTTGCACTTCCCTGTTTTGCAATCCCCAACTGAACAGTTTTTTGCTTGATGCAACGTCAGGTGGTGGAAGAGAATCCAGGAAGCTGACCCGACTGTGTTGATGGAGCTGAACAATGCCGTGACCACCAAGGATGAAAAATACACCATTCGTGACAATCCCAGTGTCTTGGTAGCCTATAAACCTGGAGGCTGTTGTTTTCTTTACTCTCAGGCGTCACAGTGGGTCATACTTTTTGCATTCTGTATGTGGTGGCAGTGCTGCTTGTTTGTCCCAGGCTTGAAGATCTTGCTTGACACCCATGGCAAAAGCAAAGTTGCTGATGGAACTGCTGTCATTGCGCAAGCATCTGCTGTTGATGTCTTGGAAGCAAAGCAGCAGCAAATGGAGTCTCAGGCATTTGATCTTACTATGGGGGGAGCTGGAGTTTGACCTGCAATCGTTCCGAGTCTACCAACAGAAGGTTGTCAACGCCAGGTCGAGCAGGGCATGCGTTCAGGAGTGGGCAAGCAAGTCCATTCAAGCCTCCATGGCTGCGGCTGAGGCCTACTTTGACACACATGTAGCCTGATGTGAGATAGTTTGTGGCAGTGTAGCATTTCTGTGGCACCTCTTACATTTACTAATGCAGTTGATGACTGTATTCTTCCAAGTTAATTCGCATGAGGTCAGCAATCTGGTTTGGGAAAATCACGACACTGGAGCGGTTGCCATCACCGCCTACAAAGAAGAACGTGTCTCCCGCACCCGCCAGCTTGGAATTCCTTCGGATGGCATGGCAGCTTGCCATTGAATCTTTTAAACTCTTATGGAGCCACTATTTCCTGTAGCTGCACCATGGCTGATTTCTCCTGAGGTCCCTGTGGCTCTTTTGAATTGTGCTGCCCCAGCTGTTGTGCACACAAGCCACATCCAAGCTGCCATGCATTTGACACAGTATGTGATGTCAGACTCGCAGAAAGCCATTGGCCTAGCACTCACGCCTGTCTTCAGTTACACCAAGAATGGTGTCTGGAAAGAAGAGGGTGCCATCATGCAGTATTTGGCTAGTACTGGGGCACACTGTGACCGCCAATGGTTCTTGACTTTCAAGGAAAAAATGCGCGCCAACCTCAGCTATTATCACAGCAGCTTCATATGAGGTTGGTCATGAGAAATGACCACAGCCATTTGAAGTTGCTGTGGCCCAGGACCTTCGCGATGACCGGCCTTTGACGTATCCAGGGCGCATTTTGACACCAGCAGCTGCTGTGCCCAAAGAGTACTTCTGGAAGAAAAGTGCTGTGCTGACGCATGGCAGAACCGAGCCGGCCAAGCAGATTCCAGGGAAAGACATGAGAATGATTGAAGATTGCAGCGGGTCTGCGCTGCCAGCAGCAACTGATGCTGATTGCACTGTGCGTGGCGCTGCGAAGAGTGCGCAGATCGGCGGAGCAGCTGCTTCCAAAGTCTTTGCTCTCTTGACAGACTCTCACCTATTACATTTGCATGTTGCATCACACGCGTGCTGCCTTGATCTTTCATGCCCCCCTGTTTCTCTGAGGATGGCATGAATTTTGGTAGCCAGATGGCCGTGGACTTCTTGGACCTCTTCCCGGTTGTGGGAAATTTTTTCGAAGTGCGCCCTCTGCTTTGCTGTCTTTGAAGGCTTCTCAATTTTGTTAACATATGGAACTGACACGAGCTAACAAGCCAAGATGGAATTTGCCAGGGATTTGTGGATGCACAGCAGGGTGCCAATGTCAGCATGCACTACACTTGCTGGTGGGGCGAGGACAATGCTGCTGAATGGTTCAAATCCATTTCCCTCGAGATCTTGTCATGCAGATTCAGGGAAGATCGCCTGGCAGTTGCTGGTCACCAGAGGACAGGGGATTGGGGATATGTCAAATTGAAATCAGAACAGCAATTTGGAATGAGTTGTTATTGGCACAGTGGTGTTTGAAATCTTTGTGCTTGACACCATTTTTGTGGCTCAACCAACCAGGTGCAAGACGACTAGGTTTAGTTGTTTGGAGCCAAGTGCAGATGCCGCAGCCAGAGCGCTGGGAACCCCAAACTCAGGCTGAGCAGAAGCTCCGGAAGCTAATGGACCAGAAGTGGAAGCGAGAAAAAAAACGAAGACAGAAGAGAAGGGATGAAAAAACCTTGCTAGAGACAGTGCTGAACATGATGCATCGGCATCTGCCGAACAAGGGGCAATTGCAGAAGATGGAGTTCTTGGACCACTGGCGCCGACACATGGTGCTGCGCCCTCTGCAGTTTGCCAGAAAGTGGAAACACCTGAAGCTGAGGCAGCTTCCCACATGCCGAAACAGGAAGCGCCGAAAGAGGATGTGGCTGAGGCAGCTTCTGCCCACATGATGAAAGAGCATGTGGCCAAGCCAGTGGGTGTTGCTCGACAACAGGAGCAAAATGTGCCAATGAAGAGTGAGGTGCAGAGCCCCACTAGCCCTGCAGAACCGGGGCTCATGGATGCCTGCGGAGATGTGCCCACCGGCTCTGAGAAGTTGGAAACGTCTCCATGCACAGCACAAGTTGATGTCAAGAAAGAAGTGGCGCAGATGGGCCCAATGAAGACTGACTCTGAATTGGCTGATGAATACCACAGGGCCTTTCTAGAACGAGGCTCACCAAAACCAAAACGAATGATAGCCCAGTACAGGAAAAGTAAGCGCAAAATGCTGCGCTGATATTTTGGAGACACACCGCCGGCCTCATGTGAAAAAACCATTGCGCAAGAGCGTTGTGTAGCGTTCAACTGAACTTGTGCTTCTGAAATTGTTGCCAGCCACTTTGTTGCCAACCAGCCTTGTAAGGTCTGGCTAGCAACATTTTTGTTGCCAGCCAGCCTTGTAGGGTCTGGCTAGCAACATGTTGGACTAGCTTCCAGGTTGTGTTTCCCAAAATACTTGCGCTTTTTTTGCTCCACTCTGTCGGCTTCCAGGATGGCAGCTGAATGTCCTGCGCAAACCCTCGACCCCTTGCCGGACCTGCCTCCAATGAAAAAGCTCATCTTTGCGAAGGTGCGGTTCGGTTAGTCCTTGTCAGGACGAAGACGGTGTGGCAGTTGTCCCAGGAGTGCCTGAGGAACTTGTCCGTACATACTACCACCATGACGTCTTCGGCGACAAGTTTCGTGCTTTTGTGGACGGCTTGGTGGAAGAATATGGTACCATTCATGCTTACAAGGAAGCAGCCACCCGAGTTCCCAGTGTCAAGTGCCAGAATGGTTCTCCCACTGCTGAACCGGCCAAACGTCTCAAAGTTGCAGTGTCGCCAGTTGTCTTGGGTGACCTTGGTGGAGTGGAAACCCGCAAGGCGGGTGTGACATGGAATACCGGGGAATAGTTTCACAGTGCTAATTTTGTCGAAAACCGAAACCCATGCTGACATATCATATCTTTTTGCGCAGGTGATTTTGCAAAATATCCGGAGCTCTGGCACACCTCCTTTCTTGACAGTGCGCACTGGGTCTTCTGTGGCCCTTGTGAACCCAGCTGATTCCCAGGCTTCTTGGCTCCACAGTGTTCCACTTGTATGCTGACGTCTTTCGAAAAGAGTTCAGTATGTTTGGGCCAATGTGTATTCATGTGCGCAAGCTTTGCGCTGACATGGCCTGTCTCAGGTCAAAATTGCCATGCACTCCTTGTGCTGTGGGTTTGGAGAAGGGAAATTTCGCGAAGTGGCTGCTGACTCTGGCACTTTTGACCCGGAAGCTGAGATTGCATTTGATATGAAGGAAGGCTCTGACTATGTCATGCTGGACAACAAAGTCATCACTTTGGCTGAGGTGGTCCGGGGAAGAAAAGCAAGTGCGGGGGGCAGCAAATGTGTGCTACCACACGATTCAAGAGAAGCCTGGTGGTGATGGCTTTACTCTGCAGCAGGCTAGGTTGTTGACATGCCTTTTTTTGCCTGTTCATACATTTTTTGAACTGCTCAAAGTGATGTTGCAGGACCACAAGGTGGCTTTCAAGCCAAAGCCTGGCCAACTTGGTGAGAATGCAAGTGGCAGTGTGGCTTCGATCTCTCAGGCGATGGGTGGTTTGGCAATGCCGTGCCACTTCTGGAACACCAAGGTTACTGCTGTAGTGTGGATGGTCCGATGGACTGTGAATGGCCTGTCACCCATTCGGCCTGTTGTGGTTTGGCTGGCTGATCCCGTTTTGGATGGCTGCAGAGCTTTGAAGCTTGAAGCTGCAGCTTAGTTAGTGCTTCGAAAGATGCCGAGGGGTATCTGTGCCTGAAGTCTTTATTTATTGAACACGTTCCACTGTTCGACACTAGAAGTTTCAACGCTCGAATGCTTCTGCTGTGCACAGATTTGAT